CAGAGACATCTAAACTTCAATATTAATATACATTTTTTGGCATGACGATACACCCGTTACTTACAGCCGTAAAGTAATGGATCAACGTCGAAAAATTGCTTCCAAATTGATTCTTCTACAGGGTGTTCCAAAAGTCCAGCCTCCTCCCCCTTTCTAACTTTTGAACGGTTCGAGATAGAAAAATGAAACTTTGGGAATGTTCCTATCTCAAAGGGGACTATCTTATGGGGGGGTCAACATTTTGGTCCTGTCGGAGGAGCAAGAACCTTGAGGGTGTTCAAAATACCTATGGGACCAAATTTTCGTTATTGTGCGCTGTAAGTAAATACTTGCTACTTCACGAAATTCTACGGAAAGTTCTAAAAAAACTTGGGAGCCTAGAACCATTAGCACCATACAGAAGTGTAAAGTAGAACTTCGAAAATGAGGATGACTTCGTAATTTTTCGATCAACTTCGTGCCTTTGAAGTTTGGACGAAATTGAGCTGGCAAACTTTAGACGCTAACACAGGGAGAAAGTTTTGTTGGCATTGCGTGACAGCATTGTAGCGAAATTTTCTCATGAGCTTTCATTGGATATGCAAGAAAGGCAGCAATCTAACCTCTTGCACAGCTTATAGCAAAACTTTTAAGATAGCATTCTTTAAAAGTTGCTAATTTTTCCGGAGAGCCAAAAACCGAGTTTTCAGTTTTCCAAGAAAAAGTCCTTGGTAGACCACGATTATTTCTATCTATGATGTCAATTTCTAATTTTACTCAGAGTTCTAGTGGCTAGGCGTTAACAGAACGAAAGAAAGAAAGGAAGGAAGGAAGAGAGAAAAAAAAAGAGAGAGAAAAAAAAAGAGAGAAAAAAAGAAAGAAAGAAAAAGAGGTGAAGGAGAAGAAGAAAAAAGAAGGAGAAAAACTGACTCTCTTCCATTAGTGTCGGTTTATGCCGACAAATTAGCCTTTTTCCCTCACCTTGAGTCAGACGATTAAGACGTTCAAAGTAATTTTAACATCTGGCAATCTTGCCCGCTTTGAATTCTTAATACAACGACATTGTACACATTTTCGATGAAATAAGAGACTCCCATTATTTTAGCACTGTCACAATAATTAAGAGCCTTGCGGTCCTAGCTACGTAATTCACCGCTAAACTGCGCAATAAAATCTTTTGTTAAAATCCGCCTTTCGGCGCAGTGACTAGACGAAGAGCTCCATAAAACTGGCAACACAGCCGCGAAACTTATGATACGGCGTTTCCTCTTGTGAGTCAGACGGTATTCCTTTCGGTTCCGACTAGGGCCAGCTTCGGCCTCTAAATTGTGAATACATCTTCCAATGAAATCCGCACTCCGGTTCCCCTGGTTCCCTCCAGCATGGCTATTTATGGAACATTGATAATCTCAAATTCTGCCTTCAGTCAGTGTCTTGTCCTGCAACAGCCGGGCACTGCGCTATGGCAACGTTCCTCACTCCTTTGTCTCGCCGATGCGCCAGTTCCGGCGGTGTTGCCAAAAAGTTACAACATTTGCGTCCTCTGACTAATAACTGTCTCTTTTTTCTCTCCATTGGCGGACCTTGCAAATTGGCAACATTCTCTTCTCTCCATTTAAACCTATGGAAATGTATCGATCCTTGGAGGGGCCAGGTGCTCCGACAAGAATCGAATATTTAGCATAGGTTTGAATGGAGGAAATCCGGTGTTGCCAAATTGCTGGATCCGCCTTTGATGGAAACTTCCACGTCTAATGGATGCAATGGTCGGTTATTGAAACTGCTTTAGAATTGAATTGAAAAAAATATCATTTCATTGACTAACCAATCAATTCGCGGGTATTTAATCAGGGAGTGACGAACAATTAGGTACATTACAAGATGGCGTAGTTTTCTGGTTTCTCACGGGGGAACTGCTGCACTTACTGTTGGTTTTAAAAAAAATTGCCCTCGCCGGAGCCTTTTTTGCTCCTGATCTGCCGTGCCAGGAAAAACGCCGTATGAGTCTTAGGATGTTGCCAAATTTCCATAGAGAAATCGCGAATTAACGGGAAAATGAGCACACATTTTTCTTCTTTTTTGTTCGTAGTTTGATCTACTGTATCTGGAAATTTCAAGGCAAAACATGACTTCTCAAAAATTAATGTTTTCTTAGAGGCAAGTTGGCAACATTCGAATGTTCATACGGCGTTCGTCCTTAGCACAAGTAGTATGATGGATGAGCAGGGAGCAAATTTTTCGCTGGGCATTAGCAACTTTTATCTACGTAAAAGACATTAATAGGCGATGTATCTTAAAAGCACCCAGTTAAAAAAATACACATTCTTGTTAATAGCCCCCTGCAAAAAAAAGCCGTACAAACGAAATTCTTGAGTCCGCGAAATGTGTGCACAACACACAAATTCAAGTTGGGTCCTAAAGCCCGCTTCGATTCTTCGAAAGAAGCAGCGTAAAGTCCGCGGTTACAGAGTGTACATGCACATTTAAGGCGTCTTTAAACGTAAGGCTGGGATTAGAATCATGTTCTCAATTAAGGACCTTAACCTTCCATTGTTTCTGATGCGCCACCACACCCTAAAGCTTCCTGGCTTCTCTGGAGAAGAATAATGAAAAAGCGGACGCTATGACCGTGGGCGACTTATGAGAAGATCCAAAAGGCCAGGAGCCATTCGGAGAAAAATTATACTCATATCAGCCCTTGACCCTGTCAAAATTACCGTACAGTTATTTACCCTGTGATCACTTGGATTACATTTTGCAATAAGGAATCACTATCTCTAGCTCATCCAGCACATATATGCAAAGGAAAACCAATGGCCGCATGTTGTTTCTAAAATGGACCAGAAATAGTGGTTCCTTATTGCAAAATGTAATCCACTGCATAGGGGGCAGGAAGAGGGGAGAGATGCCGGATGAAATTTATCAGCTGAGAACCTATTCATCAGCAATCACATAGACATGTATGATGAAAATGTAGAGCAAGCATTTAAAATATAATAAATTTCATGGATTGTCAGAAGATTGAGTGCATTTAGGAATCACTTAACTGCTCTCAGCGCATGTACTTTCTACTGAAAACGGTCTAAATAGTCATGGCTGTGGCTCTATTAAAATTAACGCAGCTTTATTAACCTACTTAAAATGCAGAAAATTGGACAATGAGGAAAAGAATATAGATTCAACAGGTTAATTTACCTAGGTGCAAATTTAACTATAATTAAATCATTATTTCAACGTCAACCATATTACTGATGAGATTTGGCACCATGATTACGGCTAAATGTTAGATCCCTTTCTTGCAAAGATTTTCAGGGTTCTCATGAAATGGTGGGAAGGGAGGTGGGAGGCTTGAACCTCTCTTGACGGTCTATGAGGCTAATTTGACGATGATCCTTCTTATCCAAGGCAATGAGCGGAAATCTTGCAGGATGCAAAAATGATGCCTGCAGAGAATTAGGGATGTTGTTCCTTCATACTAGCAGTATTCTTGGCTAAAACTACCCCTTGCAAGTCAAAGGGAGCCTTTCCTATCCTTGCACTTTCTTTACTAGGTATCTGAATTTGTTTTCTATTCCATGCTGATGAGAGTTATCATAAGGAGTCAATACGTTTCAGGAACTTTAAATAAGTAATGATGTCACTATGGATTTTTGGGAAGCATAAGTAGTGCTTGATACATACATATAGGTCGCTTTACAGCACTCCCTCGCGCTCTACGACCCCTAACCTCCACTGCTCTCTTTCAAACCACAAATCTTGGGGGATTGAGCACCTCAACATTTCTGCTTCAATCCCGTCCCTCCAACCTTTCATTGGGCGCCCTCTGCGTCTTCTCCCAGGAAGAACCCAGTCAAGGACCTTCTTCGGCAACGTGCTTGATGCCAATAATAAAAACAAACCGAGTTTTGGCATGATTTGTTTTCTAGAGTCAACGCCAAAACAGTTTACGCACTTACAGATTGCGACATTAGATCGGTCATCTTGTGTCATGCATTTATTTAACATGTAACAGTGACGTCAGACAGTTTTCTGTCGCAATCTGGCAGTGCATAAACTCATGTGGTATGAACTCTAACATCCCACCTAACTTTGCAAGAAATATTTAATTTAACTAGGAGGAAAACTGTGAGATGATGACAACCACGAATGACAGATTCCAGAACAAATTTTAAAATGAAACCATCAAATAGTTTAATCATAAGTATTACAATATGAGGTACTACCACTACGAGTATTAGTCAGAAACAGTACCTCACAGAACTGGGGGAGAACAGGCAATGCCTATTAAACTGAACGGGAAGTTTGATAAGGACCCGTTTGAGGTTAAGAAAGCAAACAAGCCATTTCCTAAACCATAGCGCCTTTAACTAAGCCCTATCTAAGAAACAGAAATAGTTACAACAGCACTTCCCAATCAGCACAAACCAAGCATAAAGACACAGAGAGCCTGAAGTTGTCTCCAGATCATTGCGTTAGTTTGTAAAGATGAGTAGCAACATGGTCACCAGCCTCTTCTAGTAAGGGTGGATTATTCATAAACTTTCATCACTAACGAAAGGGGAAAATTAAATACGCAATGATAATAATGAAAAGCTGTGGAGAAATGTGCCAACTATAACAAGTTGAATCAACTCTATTATTTCAAATGTCGATCCACAGGAGCATCCAATTCTAATTCGAGTAACTTACAGAGACATTAACAGGACAAAGTCCAGCAACTGAAAGATACGCTCGAAAACCGAACAAAGAAATAACGAAGTGGGTACTCTGTTATCTCACTGAGTCACTGGGCGTTAGGAATCAAATCAAACTGATTAGAAGATCAGCCTCAACTTCCAACAAAGAACCGAAATGATATAACGCTGCATTGAAAGCATTACTTCAAATTGGAAAATGAGAATGTTTAAACAATAAATGCGACGGTCGCGGGCACTCTGCTAAGAATTAAAGAACTGTTGAAAAACGATCCAAGCATATGATCAACGGTGAAAAATGTAAGAGATCAGAAAAATATTACTCACATTACTAGTCGAGATAATAAACTTGAGATCATTTTCTTTGATGTGATGTCCAGTAACGGTTTGATGGATGTTAACAGGCACTCACAATCTAACAAATATCACAAAATTTAAACCGCATCTCAAAGAGAAATAAAGCGCGTTTCAACGAGAGAGCACAATGCAAGGTAAATTCTGAACTAACTGAAAACTCGTTGGCTCTCCAGCCATGATGAAGTCGGCAATGTTATGATCACGTGATCGGGGCTCAGTGGGGACTACTTTTCTGATGTGGCCGTGCGCGGAGTAGTAAAGAGTTCTCAACCTGCGAGAAGTTCCGTCAGCAACTCAGTCAAGTAACCGAAGCTCGCCTGTGCGATGCGTGAGTGCTGTTCGTCTCGCCGAGTTCCTAATGTGTCGTGCTGTGCAAATTGTAAATAAAAATTCGAAATGGTTTTATGAAGTGTCAGTGTGTGTGTAGTTGTTTTCATGCTCTACTCAGTGTAAAATGTCTCATCGTTTTCGGAAAAATATCGTGGGAAAGCGGTTCTTTGCTGTGTCTGCCTCCGAAAAGTTACGGAAAAATAATGTGAAGGGTTGGCCCTGGATTAGTGGATACATTCGAGCAGCTTCCCTGAAGGATAGCGAGGATGAAAAAATTCAGGTATGTACATCGCTGAAATCCCGTGAAATCTTGATTTCGTGCAGGTGTTTCGCTATCACTTCCATCTGGCATTCACTCCCAGTTCTCCAGCGAAGTAACGACTGCTTCGCTCTCTCTTTTGAAACAGGATCTAACTTGTCGTAGCTCGACGTAACATATTTCCAGTCTTCAGTTTGTAGTCTCCTGTTTCCCTCAGAAGGGATTCCAAATGACTTTCGTTCACGTCAATATATCACATGAATGTTGCAAATCCTGAGTGCATTGCACCCTTCTGAGCACAGTTTTGAAGGAGTGTCTGGACTCCCCTCCCCCTTTCTGTCTGCACCTGTTCTCCTTGGAGTTTTCCTATTTTGAGCTTTTATCTTGTCCACCTGCACGAAAACTGGTCTCCTTTACTGACATTTTCTCGATGAAATAAGAAAGTTGCACATGTTACACGTACCTAACTTCCACTATGAGCGTGAAATTTTTGCATCTGAGGCTAATTTGAAGGACGAAAAGCGAGTGGAATGGTATCATCCAATTTAGGCTGATAATGAGGTTTTGAAAGTTATTGAAATTAGGTAATTCGTACTCTCGGAATGTCACACTAAGTAGTGCCACCGTCTTGTCTAGTTTCACATGGAGTTCTATACCCCACTGGAATTGAGTGATGATGAGATTTGAATGAACTCACATGTGAAACCCGATTGCGGTGCTCTCATTCGAAGTTCGTGCCTATTCTCAAACTATGAGAGATCGTTCGAGGTGAGAGCTTATTTTTATTTTAGGGATCCCTTTCGCTTTTACTTTAAGCACCCTACCCTCCTTCTAATCATTTGTCACCTTGATGTCGAGGAATTCTTTCCACTAGCTTGACGTAAAACTGCAGCTTTCCCTCAGCAGGATTCCAAATTTTAGTGCGATGACTGGCAAGCTTTCGATGTAGGTTTCGGTTATCTCAGATGGAACACGTATTAATAGTCGATTTTTTTTCTTCCTCCTCTTTTCTTATTTTTGCGGAGGGAGGGGGAGAGAAAAACTGTGGGATTCGAGTCTCAAGGAGAAGCATGCCCAAACCAGTTTTCCAAAAACCGCCCAGAACTACGTAGCCACGTATTCCCTCGATCTTCGGAGCAACCTTCGAAAATCGGGAAATAATCTGAGAGCATTTGGATTTGCAGGTCTGCTTGAGTGATTTTACCTAATAACGAAGACGAAACTACAGATTCAGAATGTAGAAATGCAGTTTTGAATCATTGCTAAACACCATCCAATTAGGTACAATAATTCAGAGCAGGTGCACTCTTCAGATCCAAGTGAAAATTCTGATAACGTGCGGGCCCTCCTAAGTTCATGAAGCTCATTAAGTTTGCATACAGTCATTTGAATGGGCTTCCATGAAGAAAAAGGGAAGGACTTCTCTTTACTTTCACTGAGAGCCTCCCCCTCACACATCCATCCTACACGCGAAATTTGTAGCATTGCTGAGGTCAGTGCACCCAGGAAGCTACTTAATGTTCTGAAAATCTTTTTCACTCGGTGACTCGTTCTATTCTATACCTGAGGAAGGAAATTATCAAAATGGTGCAAGGCTATGGTAATCATTAATATAAGGAAAACGTTTTTTGATTTCTCCCCCTTGCTTTACCTTCGTTTGCCAAATTAATGCCAATAAAATCCAAAATGCCATAAATCGCCACTTAAACACACAAGTACTTTCGAATCCAGTCTTTGTGAAGAGCTTGCATTTTTTAAAGGGCGTCGAATTTTTAAGGAGAAATGGATTGCAAGCAAATGCTGATTTCGTCGCTGAATACGTTATTAAACTCTAGGTCTCGTCTCGGCAGAGCAGTCGTATTCTGTGACCGGACTGTGGACACTGGACAGTTCACAATGTTTTGTTTTTCTCATACTCGAGCGTTAGGCAATAGCGTCACTGCATCCACGAGTCGACGATGTCATGCCATCAGAGCGCATTATCGCGTCGGTAACGCAAAATTCTTGCAAGATTGTTTTCATCAGCTACGACCATTAATGCACTAGACATGTAGTGGGAAAACAGCCGAACGAGTTGAATTCCGAAGCTCACGAAACAGCTTCCCATCACTATTAAGTACCTATAAACGCATTTGCTGCTGAATCTATCTTGCCGATAACCTTTGCCTCGAAGTCAGCGCAAGTCAACGCATCGAAAAAGCTCGTCCAGGTTCAAACTACCTACTCACAAAAATAAAATGACAATTTTTAGAAGGAGGTCAGTTCTCAAGTCACGTTCATATTTTGTATGACCTCACCTCCTGTATATAGCAAACCGTGACGTAGCTGCTTGCTGTCCCTAGAAAAGGTAGTCAGTAGGAAGCTCACAACATGAGAGATGCACCAGAGAGCCATGTAGAAAGTAGAGAAAGTAAGAGGAGGTAGGGAATGAACAAACTCCGGAGGATATTCAGGTGGGCGATAGCGGTTAGGTACCTGTGTCTCCGCAAATTTTTTGGGTTTTTTGTGATTTCCTAGAGTTCGAAACCTTTAAACGATTCCGCTGAAATGGCTCTTCTTTGGAAAGGAACAGGGCGGGTAATTGGATGGTAGAGTCTTTCTGACAATTGAGAGAAAGTAGCATTCAGGGTTGCAGACTGTTACAGTGTCACATACAGGCCTCCGCAATTTTCTGCGACGTGCTGGGTTTTCGCAAAGAGGTCGAAATGCTGTTAAATTTTTGGATGTGTGCCGAAGTCTCATCATTCCCCAAGCGTTGAAAATCTCATCGGTGGCAATTTGATAAAGTAAGGAGGGTTCTCTCAGTAAAAATTTTCGGCTCAGACGTTTGTGAGCCCATTTTCTCTAAACTTCACTGGAGAAAAAAACACATTGGATCTAGAGTCCAGAGTCTTGAAAACATTGACAAAAAAAGGACTCTTGATTCAATCAGATTTAAGCTTAAATCGAAAGGAAATCCGCTCAAATTAAGAGGCTTGGTTCTTGATTTAAGCTTAAATCTGCTTGAATCAAGAGTCCTTTTTCTTGTCAATGTTTTCAAGAGTCTGGACTCTAGATCCAATGTGTTTTTTCTTCCAGTGTTCATTTGGAACGCGTTAAGCAAAAAGGAACCAAGCCACATCAGCTATCGCCAAATTTAATAGGGAAATTTAATTCTTTACATGCAAACGGTCGTGCAGATTTTTTCGCAGATTTCAGTAAATTTTCTGTGTAGCACGAAGCAGATTCCTTGAAGTTTTCATACATAGTAATCCGCGCAAATGCTCTCTTGTAAAAAATTAAATTCCCCAATTAAGTTTGGCAATATCTGAAGTGGCTTGGTTCCTTTCTGCTGAACGCGGCCCATTTCTGCACTTACGGCTCTCTTCGCCATCACGGCAGTATAACGACGTTGGCACACATAGCTGTTAACAATCTCCGATTTGCTTTGGTTTTACTTTCAACCTCTAAAAACGCGATCGATCTCCAAGCAATGATGTGTGACGTTAACCTTCGGCGGGAACCCGGCTTTAAGTTGTTAACATGCCAGCTGTGTTACCGTGGATTACCTTGGTCCTCTCAGCGGATAGTCCGCGACCAGTTAGCAGGCGGAGTTTGTCACTGACTCACCGATCAAGACAAAGTAGTACATCAAAGTATTTCCCCGAGGCACCATTTTCCTTTGTACTATATTGATCGTCGACCGTACATGCACAATGCACAGTGCACACTCGCGTGCAATACCTGTAAGCCGTAGGCAAGCAAGCGTGGTGCCTGGTAGAATCGATCGTGAATTCTCCTCCTAAAATGGGATTTTGCTCCTAACGACATAATGAGCGATCATGGTAATCGCAGAGGCAAATTCCACCGCGTGCATCTTTCTGTAAAACCAGAGACAAGAGACCCTCCACTGGCCTCCTAGCGACAGGTGGAAGCTTTTACTTTCGGGGTTTCAACGATTCCTTATGGACAATTATTAGGGAGCAACATTCATCACCCTATTTTCGGCTGTTGACTTACCTACATGGTCGATGATGAGCTTCGGATGACGTCATGAGCCAAACAACTTTCCCAAACGTCGGCCATTTTCGGCTTGTTTGTAAAACAAAACTGCCAACACGTTGTTGATCATCAACCATGTAGGTAAGTCAACAGTAGAATGCTGAAGTCCCGAAAGTAAAAGCTTCCACCATGGCCAAGATACTAGTGGAGGGTCTCTTGTCTCTGATCTTTCTGTAAAACCAACCATCACCCTCCAATTCGTCGTATTTCTCACGAAAGAACGTAACTCCATTTCAATGTCGCCAACTTTCCTCTCGCAAATTGCACAGTAACCGAGAGAAACTTAAGCTTTTCCAACTGACAATTTCACTAATTTTTCCTCTGAAGATCTCACACTGGAAAAAAAAAACACATTGGATCAAAGAGTACAGACTCTTGAAAACATTGACAAGAAAAAATACTCTTTATTGATTCAATCGGATTTTTGCTTGAATCAAAACGAAATCCGCTAAAATTAAGAGGCTTGGTTCTCGATTTAAGCTAGATTCTGATTGAATCAAGAGAACTTTTTCTTGTCGATGTTTTTAAGAGTGTGGCACTGTGGACTCTAGATCCAATGTGTTTTTTTCCAGTGCATGTAAAAATCAAAAAAATTTGGATAAGAATTGCGCTGGTACATTTTTGTTTAAAAGAAATTGATTGTTGTAGTCAATTTGGCAACCTTGGAATGGAGTTACGTTCCTGCGTCCAGGAAGCGACGAATTTAGGTGAGGGATATAGGAATGCCGTCACTATTTCAAGATGTGAGTTTTAAAATTCAGTGGCCATTCATGCACACATCAGGAACTTTTTCAGAGTTTTAACCCTTTTCTTGGAGAAACTCCTGCATGCTGTTCTCCAGGATAACGCTGTCTTGAACGGAACCCCCCTCCTCTACCAGCTTGTGAAAATTCCCACGGAAAAGTTTTTTTTTTTTCGTTTATATTTTTCTCCCTTTTTTTACCTTCAAAATGTTTCTAACATTTTCGCCTCATGTGAGA